TAGCTAAAATTAATATTTAAAATTTTATTTTAAAAAAACCTTTTTGAAAAAATTCGACCCAAATTTGTGCCAAAAACGGTTTAAGGGATAATTGAAAAATAATGTCATAATAAAAGGAAAAAATAAAAATAAAAATTCGAAGACATTTTCCGGACCATCATCTGATCCCAACCTGTTACACATTTTCTGGGTACTTGAATTTATATTTATTCAAAATTGATAAAATTCTTAAAATCTAAAGAATCTCCGATTCCCATCTTTTCGAAAAACGCAATAAACTGATACTTTCAATTCATAAAATTTACTATTTATAAAAAAAGAAAAAGTTTATTAATTTATAATGCTATAATATAGTTTAATTTTTTTAAAAAAATAATCCAAATTTATTAAGTTAAAACTATTGTTAGGTGAAATAATGCCATTTTTATAATTGTATTCGATATCTGTTTGCATATCTTCATTTTTTATATTTTGTAGCTTTTTATCAGATTCTGATAAAATATTTTCACTATTACGCTATTTTGTGAAAACATCAACAATTTCTTTTGCTGTAGGTCGTTTTTCTGGTTCTACATTCCAACTTTTCTTAATTAAATCTGCATAGCATCTTGCTGTATTTTCGTAAATATGTGACCATAAGCCATCCATTTTTTGTAAAGTATAAAATTCTCCACATGATTATGCCAAAACAATAAATATCAGATACTTTAGTATATAGTTGTTTGTTCACAACTTCAGGCAACGTATGGAACTCCATCAGATTCTAATCTTAATACAACATTAACAGTTATTGAAAGTCCTAAATCGGCACTTTTAAAACTATTTAGTAATATCTTTACACTATGCAAGTTCCAATGAATAAGAATTATTTGAAGATCTGAAGCAATACATTGTAACCGATTTAAGTTATCATTCCAATCTATTTGTAATACGTAGATTTTGACGCAGACTACCTTCCGAAGCATACTCCATAACAAGGACATAATCTTTAGAAGCTTTGCCTTTCGATATACCATTCCATTTTAAGAATGTTGGTTCATTAAGACTAATGTCATGATATGCTTTTAACTTATAAAATAACCCAAATTATTAAACAATAACAAATAATTTATTGTAATTAATAAATATATATACTGTATTTAACAAAGATTACCTCTCATAAATTCTTCATGATAATTATTTGATCAATGAATTAATTTAAGCGCAATAGATCTGTCGAGAATTTGACTTTATCACACCATCTAGCTCCATATACGATTGCAAATCCACCTTAACCTATCTCTCGGATATTTTTAAATTCATCACAAAAAATCCATCTTACCTTTTTTTTCAAATCATCTTCAATTTTAGAATTATGGATTTATTCATTTGTAGCTATTAATTATTCTAAAATTTTATCTATTTTAAATTTTCTATTGTCCATTCATTATCATTATCAAATTTTTAATATTTTACCAATAAAATCTCTAAACTTATGATGTATCCAAACTATACTAAAAAGCTATAGAGAATGCTATCACTAATCCTATGTACTGTACCATGTCGCTGATTCGGCCCATGTGACAGGGTGGCATTGGACAATGTCCAAATAAATTGTAAGATTATTGGACATATGTCCAATTGTCCAATAGTTTTATTGGGCAATTTTAATAATATGACGATAAAAGCTTTATTGGCTTAACTACATAGGGAAATTTTTTTTATTGCAGTTCTGCGCAGATTTGCAAAAAAATTAAATAATAAATCAAATGCAAAACTTCAAAATTGATACTATAAATGCAGAAATTAGATGCAATTCTGTGCAAAACTTCAAATTCTAAAAAATTTTGTAGATTTTTTACAACAATTCTTCAAAAATCTGCAAAAATACAGATTTTTGCAAATTTGCACTTATTTAATTTCCCCAATGACGTTTACCAATTTTATTTTATTTCTTATAAACTTTTTTTACTTTTTAATTATTAATGAATGTTTCTAATTCAAAGTGACGAACTTGGCTAATTTATTTTATTTGCCGTGCTTTCTTTTATAATATGCCTTTATTTTAAAATCAAAATTAAAATCAACTGGTGTTATTATTCCTTTTGAAATGCAAATCATTTTACAGTTTATAACATTCTATTTGATTAATCATATTTCACTAGGGCAATACCAAGTACATATATAAACATGTTGTAAGTAAAATGGAATTTAAGTTGTTTCAATAGTGTGAATACATACATACGAATGCATATTTTATAATAATAAAAATTATATTATCATCATTATTATTATTATTATTATACTTTTTAAATATGCTGTAAATTAGAGGTATTTTGTACTGGTGAATATTGGCCTGAATTAAGTTTAATTTAGGCCAAGATTAAATTAGTTTTTTTTTAATGTCTAATAAAAAAAGTTACTATGTCCAATCAAATTATTTGGACAATTGGATAGGCAGACATTCGTATGATTGGATGTTTAAATCAATTTAATTTTACATTATTTATACAGTTTAAAGTACTTTTTAAAAAAAGAAAACTACAAAGAATAAACAAAAAAAAGTATATAGAAAGTTTTATTAGGGTTGTAGGACTCCTCTATTAAAAATAATCAAAATTCTTTTTTTGTTTTAGAGATGTTAACATGGTGATAACCTAATTTAAGAAGTCATTATTATGCTAACTTCTATAAAACAAAAAAAAAAGAATTTTGATTATTTTTAATAGTACTTCTTTTTTGTTTATTCGTAGTAGCTTTCTTTTTTTTTAAGAAGTACTTTAAACTGTGTAAATAATGTAAAATTAAATTGATTTAAACTGCCAATCATACGAATGTCTGCCTATGATCATTGACCTGTGTTTGGCTTATTCTGTCTGGAATAAGCGAAAAGCTCAGAAGATGTATGAACAAGCTAAAAAATACAAAAGCAATGTCCAAGGCCAGTCAAATAGCATTATATCTTTATATTTCGGAGTAGCAAGCTCAAATGTTTGATTTGGACTAAGTGCTTTATATCCAATAGAAAAAAATATGAACAATACGAACATAGTCCATAAATGCCCATGCTATCACTGATGATCTTCAAATAGTAATATATAGAAAATTTCAACTTAAAGTTCATTTTGTGAATCTTTTTATCATAATTGGCTTTTGTAACTTTATTGAATGTTTATCAATAAAGAATTTTGAATTGTCATTTAAAATTATCATACAGAGTCACATGAGCATTGTACTTACGTACAGTACAAATGACATGACATGATCGTACATACGTACGTGCAAACCCTTGGTATTGCAAGAATTAATAATCCTCGGAAACTTTTTATATAAAAAGTTCAAATATCTATTAACAATCTGAATACATAACATTTCCCATATTTTACATTACACTTATTGGCGTCGATTATTAGAAGAGATCTATCTTTCACAGTCACAATGGATCGCTTAGCATTTACTATCACACTATATCGTCATATTATTCATATTAATTACGTTGGAAAATACCAAACTTTGATTATTATTCGGTGGATTTAAATTATTTGATATCATAGCTTTAAATATAAATAGTTTCTATTCAATTTTTAGTGGTAAAAAGCATATCAGCCAATAGATCTGCAACGATACATGATTCTGTGTTACTATATGAGTGTCGTCAAAAGAAAACCCGAAAATCTAAAAATAGATCACATAGATCACTTATGAATTTCATAAGTGACCTATGTGATCTATTTTTAGATTTTCGGGTTTTCTTTTGGCGACACTCATATGATTATCATGTATTTTCTGTACGGCTACACAAAAATCTGTTACACGAATATAGACCAATCAGAAACGTTTTATCGCGACAGACAGTTAAAATTTTTTAATATTATAGATATTTATAGCAGTGCCCATAATTTAAACCCAACAAAATCACAAAACATTAGCCTATTTATGTTACAATAATTTAATGCTAACTGATAGTCTTTTTGATCCGCCCTATAAAAGAATAGACTGGCCCGGTTCTAAGACAGACCGAAAGACCGGCGGTTTTAGTCGGACTGATTAACAGTCCTAAATCAGATGGAGCTAAAATAAGAAATAATATTTAATATATATAATATGGAAAATTTTACTTATAGCCGTGGCTACATGTAGCCATATTCAATAATTTTATGATAATTCAAAATTTTACTAGGATAATCCATGCTGTGTAACTAAGAAAAAATACTTCTCTCGCAATTTTACCCTAACCCTAACCCCAAACCCTGACCTAACCTAACCCTAATATTAATAGCTGCAAAATTTTTTTATAAAAAAAACTATATTTGATAGTACGGCCTATTGCTACAAATAAATTAATTCTTTATTACCAATAAAAATTAAGCAAAAAAAAAATTGTATAACATAAGAAATGCAAAGAATTGTTTCTGGAAGTATTACTGCTCATTACTCTTTTACAATATTTGGTAATAGGAAGTTATTTGGTACTATCCCAACAGGTGTCCAGCTATTAATATTTGAAATAGCTACGTACGTATTTTATTCAAAATGGTTCGCATTTTAGTTTGTCATAATCTGACCGTTATATAAAGGTTACGAAGATTGACGAATAATACCTGCAAATACATATATGCTAATTAGAAAGTTTAAATTTATTTCAAAACGTATTAATATCTAATCTATTAATTTTCTTTAAAATATATTAGTTTTTAATCTATCACATTTTCTTTCAATCTATGACATTTCTTTCGAATTCGTATATTTGTAATTTAATTGGATTAATGGAATTAATGGGTAATTAAAAGTTGACCTATTGTTAAAAAAAAAAAAAAAAGACTAATTGTTCTTGTTTAAAATATTAGCAGCATCAACCCATAAGAAGCTAGGGTCCCTAGCATTACTCTCATTATAATAAAATCTATGATCAGCAGGTTTAAATAAATATTCTAATACACCTGTTGTGATATTACTTTTTTTGTCAAAATCGTAAGCTTCTCTAACAGTAAGAAGAAGTAAGTTTCCGTTCGGAAGATCAATAAATTTCGTATCACCAGCTGAATCTGCAATCAAATTTTCAGACGTAACTAAGCCACCAGGAAAAGTGGAAAATGACATCGGAATGTCAAGAAACCCACCAACGGAAATTGTTTTTACATTATGAAATTCAGAAAGAAATAAAGTTATTAATGCACATGCAGATATACAAAATCCATTAGTTATTATTATGATATCTTCACTAGTCCATCGAAAAGAGGATGTACTATTGAGTAATTTCTCTGCATTAGGTGTTAAAACATCAAGGTGCAAGCTAGAAGTTAGATTTTTTCGAAGTCCTATAAATTCACTAGCATTCTTAAAGGGTTCTCCAGAAGGAAATGACAAATAAGAATATGGATTATAAAAATCAAAATGATCAGAATGTGTCTTAAAATCCTTTTCTATTACTGGAATGGTAAAATTATTAATATTTATGCTTGTTGGAAAAATGTTTGGTTGTTGTTGTGATCGAAAAAGTAATAAAATCGTGAATATGACTACAGAAACGTCTCCACCAAGATTATTTGACATATCTAAAATAAGCTGTCAAAATTATGAAGTAAATACAAAATACATACAGTATACAATACATGTTTAGTACAGTTATTTAATCTTTACCTTTTTTGCACCTAGCTTATTTAATTGATCAAGACCATCTGCTAAAGCGTGTATAGATTTTTCGCTTTCTTTAGTGCTTTCTTCAGTAATTACTGCGACACCAACTGCTCCGTTATTTACTAAGTAAAAATCTTTAGTTACATTTTTCGCATGTTTAAATTGTGAATTTTTATTATTTTTATTCCTTGATGCCGATGTTGACTTCGTAGTTTTATCTCTTGACGTTAATTTTGTACCATTGCTACTTGAAGTAGAAGTATTACGTAAGCAAAAGTTATCAAAAGCACCATCGTATACAATAGCCCATTCTCTTTTTAATTTAAATGATTTTTTCGGACATTTTAAATTATATGTAATACTAGGAGTTTCAGGAAATTCATTTCGCAAAGTAAATTGTTGTGAAAAAAACCCCGAACTAGGAGCTAAAGCCATATTGAATCGGACTCCCAAATCTTTTGAATATGAAATACTATTATTTGCAAATTCAATTATTGCTTGTAATGCAGGTTTTCCATCAATTTCGGTAACTTCACAGTCATTATTTGATGGGTCTAATTTATCATCGAAAACCTTTTGATAAATAAAGATATTAATTAATAATCTTATGTAATTAACATTAATAAACTTATACGGTAATTCTCGATATAAAAGGTTCGCATTTATAATAAAATTTTGAATTTACTTAGATTGAGAATTCATTAATAACGTCCTTATATGGTCTATCGAGAGTTATTTGTATAATATTATTCTAAATTATATAATTAATTATGTTCAATTACCTTAATTATCTGTCATATTTGATAATATAAATTAATAATAATAGCAATAATTGTATACACAAATGATACTAATATATGAAATTACTTTACCTGTGTTTTATTTTTTTCTTTATCGGTCGTAACTACAGAGTATAAAGTTAAGTTTTGATCATAAACAAAATTCCGATAGCAAGTATTAATAATTCTTGTATGGCCATCTTTTAATTTGAAAATAGTATTTTGTAAAGCTGTCTAGTTAATTTAAAACCTTTAATGTTAAATATTTTTTAAATAAATTGTAAAGTATATGTGCTTATTTATAATATACATACCGTAAAGTCGTAATTTGATTTAAAAGTTTTTTTATCAGTTTTTTTACGTAACAACTTTAATTCGTTTATTATGTTTACGCGTTGATAAGTAAATCCTTTTGGTGGTTCTTCATTGGCCAGATCAAGGAAAACATAATAATTCGACATGAAGTGTGACACAGCATCAATCGTCTTTTGTTAAAAAAAAAATTAAAAAAAAATTAGCATATAAATTATGAAATTTTTAATAAATCAACAAAAAATATTAATGATTACATCTTTAGCGAATTTAGCATCAAAAGGAAAGCTCTCAATACATTTCTTAGCATCATTATATTCGATTAATTCATTTTTGCCGGATGCTTTGGATACTTTCTTGCATTGGAATTTAGGATCAATCTTTTTTGATTCTGAAGATGGCAAAATGATTGCAACCAATGCTACAAAGAGTATAAGGCATATATTAAGTTTTGAATAAAAATGAATTATTTCCATGATGGTTTATATTAAACGTGAGCACTCAAAGTGTTATATTAGGGAATACTTTTTAGGAATTCACGAAAAGCTTCGTATAATTATGTGCTTATGTATGCGCGTACTTAAACAACAGGCAAACCTTTTTATAGGAAAAATTTTTTTTTTTTTTTAGAAGATTGACATCCATGAGCTGTTGGAATTATGATGATGCTACGCATGAATTTAAATTTGAAGTCTAAAAATAACTTATCTAGACGAAAATACTAAGCCTATCATTTTCTCAAAATAATTTAATATAAATAATCTCCATATCAGTGTTTGGATTTGAATTGATAGGGTTATCCTGAATAATTATTGAATACGAAAATTTTGTTATTTGGTTGACGGTTGTACAAATGCATAATGAGCTATCCGGATTTATACAGATATTCGTTAGTGACTATATAAAAAATTATTTGTATTACGTACGTATGATTATTATTTATACTTCCATACTACTTATTGCACCATTCCATCATTATCGATCATCAGATTAAGTCGAATTATTGCTCGCTAAGCGGGTAATAGCTATAACATATTATTTAAAATTTTCACATTTTTTTTTTTGTCTTACTGCTATTATCATAACCTGATAAAAAATTTGCCTGATGATTTTCAGCCGATCCGGTTAAGTTTTTGATTCGGCATGATCCGTATATAATAATAATAATAATAATAATAAAATAAAATAAGCTATTCTTGTATCATTTTACGATTGTCATAACATTCGTTCGAATGCTTGTCCAAAAATGTTTGGTGTACTTTAGTTTTACGAAAATTTATGAAAAAAAACTGTTCATGACAACCAATAAACAAACCTTAACAACAAATATATTACTCGAACAGGTGCCGCTATTAAAAAAGTTAAATATGATAAAAATGAATCTCGGGTTAG